TAATAAATAATGTTTTATGATTACATGTGCTTTCATATATCAATGTATTTTAATGGGTGTAGGATTTCGATTCGCGGGCCTTCTGCATATCGATAAGAATCATACTAATCTCTTACTTCATACTATGTATTGCAGTGAAGGAATATATCAACACAGGATGTGCGTTATATCCCCACCGACATTAGTTGTCTTGAGAATGGTGAATATTTATCTTTAAATACTTCGACGTTAGCGGACCAAACTTTCTGCCACTCTTTGTACACAAACTAAATCCTACTTTCTGCATTTCGTCTGTGTTTCGAACTCAGTTTCTAAATCATTATATTAGCAAACAGAATCTAAATTTGTCAAAGGATATACAGGTCCTTCAACAAGTTAAAAGGGAATGGTAAAGATCAGGGAAACGGGAAATAACAAAGCAAGAGCTTGAAAGAGTGGTCTGACTTGGAAACAAGATAAGTGAAAGGAATATTAATCAGCCCAAGTAGTTATCTGGAAAATAATTACAACATTCTGGTTGAAATGTATTCCTAGATTATGGCTACATTCATTTAAAGTACAGAACCATGCCCTTCTATTCATAAATGATTAAAGTTGGGTGCTGATCATTATAAAAATTATATACTCGAGTTTCATTGTCAAGAGCCAGTCGGTTATTGTCTCGGTATAAAAATTGTATTTGATCGTAAGCATTGAAGTTAAAGCCGTTGTTGCTAGGAACTATACGACCTGATTAACTGGGATATTAGACGTCATGCTTAAGATATCTAAATGCCAGAAATTCCTCTTTCAAGCGCCCACATCTCATCACGAGGCTGGGATAGTGTAGGAATAAGGTCGTAATGGAGAAAATGACTTGGCTGAAAGAGAAGACGGTACTGTAGCAGTAATTAATACACCCGTCCGTTGGTCGTGTTTCGTGCCATTTAATCTCTTCTTCAGTAGTGAAAGAGATTTTTTTAAAGGCTTCAGTCGTAAAAACTACGATCTCTGATTCGGATGTGAGCATTGTTTGGATGTCTTTCACACAGAAGATTCGGTCAAATTAAAGAACGTGTGTGTGTTTGAGAGAATATATAAAATGAGAAATGACGTTTCTATAATTTATTCAAATTTAATTAAGTTCTTTTGAATTTGGTATTTTACTAACGTTTAATAATTCTAATCCTCATTCTGGAGGTCTAAGAAACTATTGCCAATATTTACGAGGATTGGATTAAATTTTAGTCCTGGCTAATTATTTATGGCCGTGTTATAGATTTTCAGAATCCTACTTCCTTACATCCGGCCTAGTTTACTGTAATTATAATGACTATAGCAAATAATAGATTTCGTGTAGAACTTGTGCGTCTACTGAACTCAGTTTGAACTCTTGAAAGCGTCTTTAAATTATAAATAATAATCTGTTCGATTTACCTATTTCTTGATAATGTTTTGGGTTCGGCAATGTATAGACTTGAAGGTAGATTATGACATTTCGGAGAAACACGTTGTCTCCATCTTCAGTGCTTGAAGGTTAATTCGTTTACGTGCATTCGGTTCATACCCGGTTCAATTTCTAATCGAGGATCGATTATAATGACATTTCTGTAGTTTTACCAGAATCCCTGGCAGAGAATACCAGGTAATGAACTCCAAATATGCTATTTGACGATTCACTGCAGCAATTTTTTTTTATCCATCGTAAGCCTATCATATCATTTTCAAATTTTACGATGTCATGTATGTCAAGTTCTTGTAATTGATGCAGTGGCATGAAACAACCTACAAACTATCCAGCGATAGACTTGGGAAGTGTACGCTAACTACGTCAAACTTCGGGCGTCACAGAACAAGCAATTCTCACGGCTCGGAATGCAAATCGTTACGAAGTGCTGATGGCGAGTAGTCTGGAATTGGAACATTGAAAAAAGTGGGAGGGGGGGGGGGGGGGGAAGAAGGCCAAGGGCCACTCTGTGTTTGTATGATTTATATTACACTGTGACCCTCATGTCAGTAACCGAGTCTTCTTATACTTTTGCAGTGGCGAATTTACAAATGAAATAGGTTTAAGGTTAATAATTTTATAGTTTCCTCAAAGGGACTGTCGATACAAATGCGTTTGTACCGGACAAATCTTTTGCACCAAGGACAAGTTGTCTGATGGGATAACCTCTCATTAGCAGCAACAGACCATAGTTTGAACAATCAAGGCTTCAACCACTGCTGGAATTGCTAAACTGTGCTTTAAAAATCTAACTGGAGGTCTACTTAACGCTAACCGACTATTGCTACTCTTGAGGGGATGATCCCATCAAAATTTCTCCTTTGCGAAAGAACTTTTGTTGGATGGATGTCTGGGATTTGATCGCTTTGGCTGAAGGCCTCCATGAGTGGGAGTAGATTGGCCGTGATCCTTTTCCAATTTTCACGGTAAACCTCCGCATATAACCAACGAAAGGTTTGATCCACCTCGTGCATTATAACGAAATAAGACACTGCAGCTGTGTTTTGAAAAGCGATGAACACCAGTGAAATGATTTCACTGCCAATTGAATCTCTTGCGAAGACGCAGACACGCCCATCCCTATATGAGATTTCTTGGGCTTTGCGGAAAAGTCCGAGGAGGCTGTTGCGTGCTGGACTGACACGCTGAAGACGGGTGCAGTCACTGCACCACGTGCCGCCCCTGGATGGATGCTAACCCCTGCTCTTTATTACCTCATTTCCTCATTCCGCTAAGCAGGCACACTGAGATCATTGCCTCGACATCAGTGGCGGAATGGCTTTGTGCGGTACGCTGTAATATCCGCCAGTGTAATAGATCAGGGTCATTGCAGAATCGAAATGATCGCTTCCGAGGGCAGCACAGATAGGCAAGTGCTCAGGAGAGTTTCTAAACTTGTAACATAAAAATATTTTCCGGAAAACCGGGTTCAGAAAAAGGTTTTGTCATGGATTGACTTGTGTAAGTTTCGTTTATATTACAGAAAAGGCAGGCGATTTCTTGACTTCAATGACTATTAGCTTCTGAAGATGTCTGGTCTTTATAAAAGAAATCGCTGATATGTTTACAGGTAGAAACACTCTTGAAATTTGATAACAATATAGTGGTTACTGATGTTAGCCAAGACTTCTGCAGCTGGAGTATTTAGTACAATGAAAGACTTTTAACTGGAGGTCTACTTAACGCTAACCGACTATTGCTACTCTTGAGGGGATGATCCCATCAAAATTTCTCCTTTGCGAAAGAACTTTTGTTGGATGGATGTCTGGGATTTGATCGCTTTGGCTGAAGGCCTCCATGAGTGGGAGTAGATTGGCCGTGATCCTTTTCCAATTTTCACGGTAAACCTCCGCATATAACCAACGAAAGGTTTGATCCACCTCGTGCATTATAACGAAATAAGACACTGCAGCTGTGTTTTGAAAAGCGATGAACACCAGTGAAATGATTTCACTGCCAATTGAATCTCTTGCGAAGACGCAGACACGCCCATCCCTATATGAGATTTCTTGGGCTTTGCGGAAAAGTCCGAGGAGGCTGTTGCGTGCTGGACTGACACGCTGAAGACGGGTGCAGTCACTGCACCACGTGCCGCCCCTGGATGGATGCTAACCCCTGCTCTTTATTACCTCATTTCCTCATTCCGCTAAGCAGGCACACTGAGATCATTGCCTCGACATCAGTGGCGGAATGGCTTTGTGCGGTACGCTGTAATATCCGCCAGTGTAATAGATCAGGGTCATTGCAGAATCGAAATGATCGCTTCCGAGGGCAGCACAGATAGGCAAGTGCTCAGGAGAGTTTCTAAACTTGTAACATAAAAATATTTTCCGGAAAACCGGGTTCAGAAAAAGGTTTTGTCATGGATTGACTTGTGTAAGTTTCGTTTATATTACAGAAAAGGCAGGCGATTTCTTGACTTCAATGACTATTAGCTTCTGAAGATGTCTGGTCTTTATAAAAGAAATCGCTGATATGTTTACAGGTAGAAACACTCTTGAAATTTGATAACAATATAGTGGTTACTGATGTTAGCCAAGACTTCTGCAGCTGGAGTATTTAGTACAATGAAAGACTTTTGTTTTTCTTCTTCTTTTTCCGGTTTAACAATGTACATTTTCCGGTACCCTTTATGGGTCCCCAACCTTTTTCAGTTGGCTTTGATCTATTAGACAGTTGGTAGGACTCCTTGGACAAGGGATCGGCCCGTTGCAAGGCCTCTACCTGTACACAGGACAGCACAACACAGAAAAACGCGGACAAACATCCATGGCTTGAGTGGGATTCGAACCCACGGTCCCAGCGACCAAGCCGCACAAGGCCCACGCCTCAGACCGCGCGGCCACCGCGGACCCCGACTGTTGTCTTTATAACAGTTTATTCTACTAGCTACCATATCACCCGATATGTTGCAAATTTAATAAATTCATGGCGTCCATTATATTATAATTTAAAGGTCAGGAAACAATGCAAGGAGGTGGAGAACAGATAACCACTGCCGAATAATAAAATTATCCGTACACAAAATAAACATTACATTTTACATTTATTTTTTTAATACCATGCTTATAAAGTTCTAAGTAACAGTAAATTATATATATATATATAATTTGTTCTAGGCATACAATGTATGAAAAATTCCCCATTGTACACTCTCAATCTGTACCCTGAACTAGATGTGGCCTTCCAATTTCTCTTATAAAGTGACACACAGAATTAATTTACTCCATCATGATGTTTGTTATGGACGAATTTTGAATCAGTCCGATAAATGCAATACTTTATGCAGATTCCATTAGGAGGCACACGATTGCTGTGCTGCCAGTTAACGAGACAGCTGACAAAAGTAAACTGACTCAAGATTAATAGACGTAACTGATAAAAATAAATTTATTTCGTCTTCAGTTTATATTAATATTATGCTTCTATATACAGGAATTAAAACGAGAAGCCGAGAATAGGGAAAACTGGAGAGCTCTTTTTGGGCAGAGCAATAGACCTGTCATAAGACAGAACACTAAATAATAATAATATACACATACGCTGGTCACCAAAATATGTGGTGATAATTGGAACATGATTCTTCCAAAAAATCTCAAAATCTGATGTCACGTTTCCACGGCAGACGTCGTTAATAAAATCTCGGGACGTAGATGGCCCTCGGCACGTCGGCACTGATCAACCGAGTGACGCGGCTCCTGGCCCGAGAAGATCTTATTAATCTTAAAATTAATAATTAAAATGAATGTGTAATGCAGGACATTTGCAAACTGATTAATGGCACAGCATACTTATTATTGATCGGCTTGGCATAATTAAGTTTACATACAATTAAACATATGAGTACATTATTAAGGAAGTGAAACAAATAACATATCACAATACAGTATACTAAATCTTATTTACAAAAAAAGAAAAAAAAATACATTTATTATGCAGATTCTCACTGTGACACATTTCCTGCACAGTTATTATAGTTTCACGTTATGAAGTATGGTGTAGTAAATTATTGAAAGCATTATATGATGATTCAAGGTCAAATATTAGCTGACGAACTTGCGTATCTGAAAGTTCATCAGATGCTTGCATTCCTGAAAGAGTGGTAAGCCAATCTGACACTTTCTGTTTGCCTTCGAATTCCGATGGCAGAAGACTGAGTCTGTTCATTGTATCCATGAGGTCACGTAGCTCTGGATGCAACTGATCCATTGCCTTTATTTCAAGCCGCAACTTGTCCATGATTGTGATAAAGAGCTGTTGACACAAACAACTATTACAATAAGTGTCTTGCTTTTTATTTCAGCGTGAAATTAAAAATATGTACTGAAAATTGAAAAATTACAGGTATATGGGTGAGATTTCATTCAGGTTCTCACAGTGCTGCGTATGAAGATGGCTGGCAATCCCTCTGAAACATCGGTAAACTTCTACCATACCACACGGCTAAACAACCCCGAAGACAGCCATCTCCATACAGGCATTTGATCAATTCTGATTATAAATCATAACAATCTTTGGAACAGTTCAATGCTTGTATCTGTATTATCTTTGTATTTATAACCAGAAGCAAACACAGCTTCTAGCCAGATTACAGAGAATGGCATGACCGTGTCGCCATCAACAAACCGGTGGTTAGAGTCGAATGTCGCTGTGAAATTTATATTTAAAATGCAACTGTTTATATAAAAATGAATCCAATGAAAACAAGTGGGAAAAGTTTGCACAGGGCAAAAGAGGTAACATCTGAAAGAAGTTTATTTAACAAAGCAAATTCCTGTAAATTTCTTAATGTAGTAACTTACTATTCACAAAAAACATTACTGTATTTTTCTTGTGTACTTACAGAAACTATATCAGCTATGCACTTGCTAGTATTCCCTTTGTCATCTTTAATTGTAATTGGTCTATCTTCTTTTATTCGCTCTAGAGCAGCTGGACAATCCAACTGTGCAGAAACATAAAGCTCATTTAACAATTATTTATTTTAAAAACCGTCTTATCACAATATTTAAATTTTTTTTTTTTAAATATTGTGATAAGACGGTTTTTAAAATAAATAATTGTTAGAATATTCACAATATGACGCAATTACACTATCTTATGAAAGCTCATTTAGTTCCTTACAATTAAAATACATACATTACTGCAGAGATGACTAAGTTCATCACACAATCTGTTCCTTCCAGATCCATTTTAACATTACCCTTCCACACATGGCATGGAGCATAATTCAGCACAAGAAACAAATTTACTTTTCAGTATATTAAGAAAACAGCCAAAAAACTCTTTAGACAATTCTTTACACTCCTTTGTTACTTTATCTCTTACAGACCCAAGTATTATTTCATATACAAGCTATTACAGTAATTAAGAAACCAATAATACTTTTGAGAACCTACAAATTCTAAATCAAAATAATTACAATATATATTTTTAGTATACTAACTCTGTACTTCTTCACAAAAGCTTCTACATTTGGAAACTCATCTCCCTGAACTTGACTGAAAGCTGCCTTATACTGTACAAGAAGTTTTGAACATGCTGCAGTATATTCTTTGGGTGTCACACAGTCTCTGATATAAGCCTTTTCCAAACTTTGTAATGTATTGATGACTGCATATAAATCAGCCATATTGTCATACCTGAAAAAGAGAAAAAGTGAGAAACAAAATTACATCCCACTGAATTGATATGAAAGGTTTTCCTTTTACATTCACCACCAAAACAACCATCACCACCTTCCTTCTAAATATTATGAATGGTCAACACTGAGACAAAACATAATAATCTTAAAATGTACCATATAGGAGTAGGTTTCAGAATGCAAATTGATCAAACGGCCCCAGGAGGATCCAATGATAGCAGAAACAAACACTTTGATTCCATTACCAGTGAATCAGTTACATAAATACACACTCAAGCCTTACTTTTCTCTTTCCCGTGCATTCCTGAACAGTTTGACTTCCTCATAGAGTTCTGGTCTGTTGGAATCTACAGGAAACAAAACAAACAATGTTATTCTTGTTTTAGGCCTTTTACATAAACAGTTGCTGCTGGGTGAAGTAATTTTAATAAAATATGTAAGAAACAATCACCGTAACGATACTGTTTTGAGGAGAATATCTTGTTCTCACAGCAATGGATCAAGGAGTCTAAAGAGAACTTACACCAGTCATGACACCTGATCTATAAACCATACTACTTTCACATGGAAAGAGATGTGTTTTAATTTATCCACATCCCTCACTCTATTACATGGCAATACAAAATGTAATTTTAAAAAAAAACAAAATTGTATGTGCTTCTGAATGCTATTAGTCAAACATGGCTATGAGGCCTATTTCACTTGTATGATTAGAATTTTCATTTACGTTGTTTATTGACGTTAATGATAACCTCAACAAAGATACAGTTTTGCCAAATACAATAACAGAAATTTTCTTTCTAGGCAGTACGATTTCATAAATTGTGTGACAAACTCTGAACATAAAGAATTTATATTATATCTTTAATAGGTCTTAGTTTACAGCCCCGTGCTGTCTTTGATGATAATAAGAAAACCAATTTAAGTCTTCGAATACGATTATTTTCTCTCCATTTTGTGAATTACATTGAACTTAGAAAACATTTCGCAATCTAATACTTTAGTAATCGATTACTCACGAATGTGTGGCGAACGGTGTAAGTGCAAAGAACCTATTAAATTAAAATGATCATTAATGTAACGGAATTTGGCCCTACCTTGAGAAGAAGGCATTACTCCACTCATTGACATACTGTGAATTTCACAACAAATTTCTGACACACCTACAACAATCTACAGCTGTGGAAAATGTCATATAAACCAAGGCAACATGAAACAGTGGTATAAACATTACCATACTTTATGCTCAATCATGAATACCGCATAATGATACGTTCATTTTTTATTTCTCCAAATGAAATGCTTCCATAGCAGTAATAATAATAATAATGTATAATGTCCTATCAACAACATTAAATTTCATTTGGTATTATTAACTCTTGCCAAACAGAGTCAAAAAATGTATTTGTTCCAATAGTCATGGCTTTCAAGCGTATGTCTTGCTGTTCAAGACACTTTGGTTCTTTCGTCTGTGCTGTGGTACTAGTATTATCTGTGTTCTGGAATACCATTGAATAAATGTAATCCAACATGGCGCCGGTGGAGGTAATCAATTTTATGCATTTTGATATATATTTAATATAGTTCCATCTAAACTTAACATTGATAAGGCATATATTCAGAATTACTTTACTATACATTTTCCAACTGATATAATTCCCATACTGTATGCTTTCTGTAGAAAATAATTTATTTTCAGGATTTGACACCTAACGTCAAGGAAAAAGGCAATACTATTTTATTTAATTCGTCAAAAAATGAACTGTTTAAAATAAGTGAAAATTACAAAACTCTGCACCGAAAATTGAAAGGCAGTTGGAAAGTACTGACGTAAGTAGTTTTAGTGATATTTCTCATTTTGTGAATGTACTGACAAGTGATATCTCAGAACTGGAGATAGAGATGGTGGCTTGCAACAGTGCAGAGGGAAAGTTAAATGCATACATCATGGACAGACTTTATTACATTGTAACATTTAATCTCAGCAAGAGCCAGGTCAGTTTCTTTTTATGTACACCAGTTGCTTTTGTGAAGATTTGACAACCATATTAATTTGATTGTACAGTAGTTTACTGGTAAAATTAATACCAACACTTTCTGATTTAAACTATTTTATTTTCAGGAATAAAGATGACATTAGCTCTGATGTACTGTCTGGAGTAACATTATTTGTTATTCCTGGTCCTAGAGAAAAATTTACAGAAAGCGAATTTAACAGCTTGAAAAAGTATCTTGATTCCGGTGGAAATATATTGATTCTGGTTGGAGAGGGTGGTGAGAAGAACTTTCAGACAAATGTGAACTTTCTACTGGAAGAATATGGCATTATGATCAATACGGGTAAATATGACCTTTGCAATATACATACTGAACACTTCTTATCAGAAGTTACACTGCCAACATTATCTCATAAATTCAAGAATTCATGCCCCCAATATCTGTTTTGCACGAAAAAGTTAGTGCAGTATAAAACTTTACTGAACAAATTCAGTACACAAGATCACATCCACATCTTATCTGTTACCATTGTGCGAATACGGTCAAACAGTTTGGCTGAACGTCTAAGAGTTGTAATGAAGGTGGCTTATGTATTTGAAACAGAGCTGAGAATATTTGTAAGACTTGAGGTTCTCACAGCGCAATAACCCAGAAGACAGAAATCTGAGAATATTTGCTTAGACAAATAATTGCTTAAAGAAACTGATAGGAACTGGAAGATGTGGTTGGATACTACATTCTAAGATACATTTTTTTTTTTGATTATATATACATTGAAACTATTAATACACCAGTAGAGTAGTGTTTATGAACAGACTGATCTAAACATTCTCAGCATCACTAAATTAAAAAAGAGAACAAGCGCAGATGTAGTTTTTGATCTGTGTAGTGTGATAGAAGTACACCAATGTTTCAGAGGTGCTTGCTGCCTCCATTGTCATGGTGATTAATTAATCTCTGTCTTGATGATGGAGGCAGCAAGAAGTTTCAATATATGGTCATTGTATTATAAAGTCATTTCTAACTGTAGATGTGGTTTTTCCCTCTTAGATTGTGTGGTGCGGACACATTACTACAAGTATTTTCATCCAAAGGAGTGTTTGGTAGCCAATGGAATCCTGAATAGAGCAATTGCTGTTGTGTCTGGAAAATTTTCTGGAAGTGATCACTATGATCATAATATCAGCCAGTGAGTTTATAAAACTGTATGTAATCTTTTACTTTTGTTGTGGAGCATCAATCTGTATACTGAGTGGTGATTGTCATACAAACAGTGAAACATGTTTTAGAACTAACAAGCTGATGAACAGTTAAATGTTTTCAATGAAGGTGCTTACTTTTTGCTTAAAAATTGGAATCAACAAATGCTAGCTTAGTTTTCCATTTAGATAAAGATACTATTTTTCAGGTGTCTGTACATTATGCTATATGTAATTTATTTAAACTATACTTTTTAAAGCTTTCTTTTTCTTAATAACAGGCTAACTTTTCTGGGGCTCTTCTGACTGAGGCATGGAATATAGTGTTAGCATCTTCATCAGATTTATTCAGAACAGCTATGAGCACTCAGAATATCAAGTTTTGAAAATTAACATTGAAAATCTGTACTCCAATACAGATTTTACATTTTCAGGTTTTTAAGAAAGGAGAGTACTTCAAACTTCCAAACTGACACACTTGAAAAAGTACAATTCTGTTTAATTATAGACTATTATTCAACTGATTATTTAAGATAAACTTTTTGTAACCAAATAGTGTTTATGGAGAAACAATAATTGATTATATTTAATACAAAGTTGAAATGTTGGATGCAGATGAACATTTAGACTACTAAAAGACTGTCATATATAACTGCCATTTCCTAATGATGCTACTCTGCCACTAATTTCTATTAAGTTTCATTTCTTGGCAACTTATTGCTTTTTATCTCTTTTATGGCAGAATGTAGATTTTAAGGCAAAGAATATTGAGTAAACATTTAAAAAGCACTATTCGCACTAGACATATTTTAGGATTTCAAAAGACTAGTATAATGACTTCCTTTATTATTTATTCTTCAACACTGACACAGCAAGTTTGCTCTAATGTTTCAGAATTATGAAAATACTGAAATTAATACTAATTCTATTGCGCAGTCTTCCTTGAGCAGTTGCTTGTAATTCAACCAGTTGCTTTTATGCAGCATCAAGGTTCAATGCCAAGTTAAAAAGAAAAACATACCAATGGACCATAATCTGATCCAGATCAATCCATTTCATACCTTCACATTCTGTTTCTCTATGAACTGTTTCAAAATTATCTAATATTACTTTTTTCCTTTTTGTCTTCCTTTATCTCTTAATTTCTATTTCTCTCTCTGTCTTTCTTAGAAATTACAAAATGTATGTTATGTAATAAAATTTGGAATTATATACAAAAAGCTTCAGTAGTTTTATGAATATGTAAGTCAACAGATGCTGGTCTATGTTCTCATGGAAACCAGAATTAAAAGATGGTTGTCTTCTGGGTTGTAACACCATGTAGCATGGTAGAAGTTTACCAACATTTCAGAGGTCTTCCATTGCACTGATGATGGAGGCAGCAAGGACCTCTGAAACATCGGTAAACTTCTACCAGGCTACATGGCACAATAACCCAGAAGACAGCCATCTTCAGACTCACGGCAGTGAAAACCTCAAATCCTACATTTTCCATCTTAATATTCCTTGTTTCTATTTCTGGTTCTGAGAAGGTATTTAATGTGTTTCAGAACTCTGAAATTTGTTTATCCATATGGAGCTACTTTGAATGTTGCTCGACCAGCTGTAGCAGTATTGTCTACAGGCAGTGTGGCATTCCCATTGAATCGCCCAGTTTGTGCTTTTTATACCCACACAAACACCACCTCTGGCTCTCCAGGTGGTAAACTTGCAGTACTGGGCTCAGTTCACATATTTTCTGACAAGTACATTGATAAAGAAGACAATGACATAGTGAGGGATGTGCTGTTCAGATTCTTAACTTCCTCTGATATCAAATTGAACCAGATAGATGCAGATGATCCTGAGGTAAATTCTGTATTCATTTCTTGTTTCTGCCATGTATTATATATGTCCCATTCTTCTTATTCTTCTCTTGAAAGTCAAATACAATAAGTGTTTTTTTTTTCAGATCACAGATTATATCATGGTACCTGATACAGCTAGACTAGCAGAAAAGCCAAGGGTGTGCCTTCAAGAATCAGTTGATGAGATTCCCACAGATTACACAAAGCTGTTTAACCAGCGCTTATTTTCCATTAACACGGGATGTGTTCCAGCAGCCATCCAAGCTTATCATGAACTAAATGTGAAGCATGAGCCCCTTCGTCTTATAACACCACAGTTTGAGACACCTTTACCTCCTCTGCAAGCAGCGGTATTTATTTTATTTATAGTTGGAGACTTAGGTGTGTGGGAATATTGTGGTAGTGAGATAGTGGATTTGTGATTCCTCAGTCAAGTCTTCTGCTACATGATATTGGTGGAGTTAGTTTCTGGCAATGATGTTGGCATTTTTCTTCACAGTTATGTCCAGAATTACTGTGTGTTCACTGCATTTCTCATGTGAAGAGTATTAACACTCTATTTTTCCTGGGGTAAACCTAAAACATGAAGCTGACCTCTCACCTTTGGTTATTACTGCCATTCCCCCATATTACTTCGTGGTATAGAACTTAGGCATGATGATAACCTGTTCCTTTGATCAATATCTGAATTTGGTCAGTCCCTCACCCACCATTCTGAACAATACATTCTTGTAAAACAACATTTCTTTTGTCTCTGCATGATTTTCCAGGTATTTCCACCTTCTTTTCGTGAGCTGCCACCACCAAACTTGGAACTGTTTGATCTGGACGAGGCCTTCAGCTCAGAGAAGTCTCACCTGGCACAGTTAGCAAACAAGTGCCTGAGTGGTGGAGACATTGGAAACGATGAAGCAGATTTGGAGTACTTTATCAGAGAATGCGGTCAAGTACTAGGTGTTGGCGGTTCAAATCGCGCATCAGGGTTAGAATTGGACGCTAGACAAGTATTACACAGCGTTAGCTTACGTATAGCTGAATTCAAGAAACTTGGCCATCTTGAAGAGTGATTGCATTGCACAGTTTAGTTTCTAAATATTGATGTGCCTTAACACATATTACATACTTGGAATGGCAAATAAGAAATAAGTGCACAAACACTTTTCATGTCAACATGCACATCAGTCTCACGTGTTCGGCTACCGTCCCAAGCAAGCTGCTGTGGTGTTAAACCTGTTGTAAGGTAATTAAATCATTCTGTATGTTCTGGTTGAAATTTCATCCCTAAATAGGTGCAAGTAGCCTTAGAAGCTGGTATGCCTCTAAGCCCACAAACAAACACATGAAACTTAATCCTCTTTAGTATTGAAATTGTGGTCAACTGCTGTAACCTTCATGAAAGTATAATGTTATTCTTCATAAACCAATGGCATACTTAGTATGATTATTTAATGCATTTGTCTTCAGACTCGTTACTTATTTGTTTTAGGTCCAAATACTGTATTCTCATCAGCACCATTATCAGACATCCTGTGTGTGTTCTTTCCTATGGACAAAGTTTCACACCCATACAAACCATCAGGTAAAATTATAGTTCTGTTCTAAACTGTAAACTATAGTAACAAGCCTTCCCAGAATTTAATCGTAATTTCTTCATGATTACAATTGTTATTTATTACTGTCAATCCCTGATGCCTGAACTTTACCATATTTTATGACTTTTTCTTTTCAAACATAAAAGTATATGCACATGAAGTGCTGGTAATCAATAATGAGGTGTATAATTGTTCTGTAGACAGTCTCGTGGTGTTTAAAGTAAGTAGTTTCACAAAATTTTATTGTCATCAAAAAGTAGATTTATGTAATTAAAAATTAATTTTCTGCCTTCAGTATATTGAAGAGTCCTTATGATTGCAGTCAGTTTGCTTCTGTCAGATTAGTGATTCATGGTGAATATATCTGTGAAATGTAGCAATTCCTTGTTTGATCATAATCTACATAAAATTAGTACTATGCTTGAATTGAGAATTAATAAGACAAACTATGTGAACAGCTTCTGATGCTCTCAACCTTGCTAAATTTTCACCAAAAGAGAAATTTTCCACCCTTCATCAGTAATGTACCGTGACATACAAGGTTTACACCCAATCCTCCAGGAATGACATACGGAATAGTAATTGAAGTTATTGATTTAAGTTGTGAGGTAAGTTTTGTCAAAACGTAACTAATTAGCAACGGAATCTTATAAACAGCTTTTTATATTGAATAACAGATGTCGTTGTGTACAATGCGCATTGTGCTGCTATCTGTAGTGTATCGTTCAAATTTCACGTATTGAAGAACGTGGCGTATTTATGAGCGTAATTATTTTTTAAAAAAATATTTGTTATATGTGCTTGCATTAACAAACGGAAATTAATTTGATTCATCCAGAAATTTCAATGACAGTAGAATGAATGAATGAATCTGTAGGTTTATTGTAACATCGCAGATGTCTGTATGCTGTTGTAATTTGCGTTTCTTGGTCATAAATATTATCATGTAAATGTATTTTTTAATGAGTTGTTAATTGTCCTTAATTTAATGAGCTATTTTAACAGACTTTTCATAATTGAAGTTCCCGCCTTGCACAAGCGGGAAATTTTGATAAAATGTATCCTTGCATGATGTCTCAATGTAATGTTAGTAATGTGCTGCCTTCTTTAGTGTGTCGTTCAAGTTATAATTGACATGTGAATGTCATAGTGCGCTGAATGGTTTTAAAAGTAAGGTTATTATGTTTAAAATGATTATGTTAGCATGCATTCCCATACGAACAATATACTAATATTTTCACTGAAATTGTAATGAAAGTAGGGTGAAACAGCAATGCCACCTGAATCAACAGGTTCAGTATAACCTAACATTTCAATTTTGTCTGCTCTTGCAAGTGGCATTTCTTGAGTATAATTTCAGAGATGAATACTTTCAGACATGTCTATGTGTAAAATATTAACTTGAATATGACTGAAATTATCTAACCAAGGTAGTTATTAAATAATTGTATAATCAAGGTAAACGGTGTATGGGAATGACAAGAGACAACATGGCACCACAATGTGACAGTCCACCATTTCCAGGCTATAAATGCCAGAAGAGGAAGCGTCGCTGGGATGTGACACCAGAAGATTTGGAGAAGGAAAAAGAGGAATTCCTGAGGAAACAAAAATGGAGAGAAGGAGCAACAGCAGACATGGTAAGTTAAAGAATTTGAAGCATACAGTTGTTTTAACTTAAAAAATGTTGTGTCAAGTTATCTTTGTGTATTTGGACACTTTGTTACACAGTATGAAACAGGTCCATATCTTACCTGTTTTAAAGTTTAGTCTCACACCATATCCCTGTTACTGGTTACAAGCTATATGTGGTAATAAGAGAAGCATTATTTGACATGTAGCAGGATTTTTATATATAATAATGATGCAACTATTGTTGAGTTATTTTTGGTCACCCAGAGTAAATTTTATAATAACATGGTATGTTTTTCAGTAGATAAGTGCACTAGACAATTAAACAAATGGTAAATCAGCAAATTCGTGCCACAGAATCTTCCTTAGAAGATTTGTACGTGCTTGGTCAAGAGAGTCCCTGCTTTCATAGGACCCCAAAATTCATCATCATGTTCACAGAAGCCTCTCATGGGCTCCTAACCTATGTCAGTTAATCCAGTTAAAACTTCTCATTCAATCTGCGATGCCTATCTCATTATCATGACTGAGAATATTTAATTGCATTCGTCCATTGTGGAGGCTTCAAATCTTACATATCCAGACCATGTCCATGGACATTATTTTTCCTACACAGTGACAAAATGTGGTTTGTTAGTGTTAGCCAAATCCCAAATTTATGAAAATTTTGGCAGTTGATTACGGGCCTATACATTGTACTCCATCTTCCATGAGGCAAAATCACAAGTCACAGCACGCGATGCGGCTACAACAAAATTTGTATAATTAAAGTTGTGACAAATAATTTTTCAAAGTGTTAGCTAGACTAACGCAGTCAAAATGAATGTTCCACTCTTGTGCTTAGATTTGTTTTAATGTTATCCTCCATTTCCGTATGTTCTTCAAGTGGACTCTTTTACTGAGGTATCATGATCAGAATGTTTGTACACATCTGAATTTTCGTACATGTTCTAACAATTTCAGTTTTCCAAATTTTGACATTAGCAATGTTAGGAGATTAATTCAAATTGATGAAATGCCTGAGCACATTCTCACTTACCCTCAACACGTGTTTCTGTTTTAGAATGATTAGAGCAGGTTTTATACACACAAAATAACAGCAAAATAGTGGTGTTGTGTATTTTAATCTTTAGAATTTTGGACATTTAAATGGAAAAAATATTTGAGATTGAATTTGTCGCTGTGAAAGATTATGGTTAGAAATATAACTCCATACTTTTACACTCTTGGAATTGGATGGAGGTGAGTGCTCAGCGTCAAGGTTTGAAAGCTTGTGCAGTGTTTTGACATGGTGAAGAAAATTTCTCTGCGTCTGTCATGAATCATCTTTGCGGGGAATAAACTTTACACGAATATAACTTGACCATTTACTCTGTAAACCGAGCTTTCTGTAACTAACAATTGCCATATGACATGCAAAGTGGGATTTCATGTCATGTCCGATTTCCTCGCATGTTGGATTGAAGAATTAAAAGGGATTACTGCTGGAAATTTGACTTTGAAGTAAAAGAATAAATCACAAAAGCGTATTTAACGCCTCAATCGTTGTCAGTTGTTATTATCACAGTTCTGGTCTAGTTGGATGTAAGATATGTTGGCAGCAAATGGTTTGAGAGGGTAATGGCATGTCTTGTGTTTGAGACACAGGCTTCAGTTTTTACAGTCAGCGGATTCACGACTTCCGTTGGCCGGGGTTCAGATACCAGAATGTTTCCTCCCCCATACCTCTCTTCTTGGTCTCTCCCATTCTTTTCTCTAATACGTAGACAACTAAGGGTAAACACCCCTACTACCCCCACTTATATCGTGTGCCGATGTACGAAATTTCCTTGCTGTTTGTATTCGCAAGGTTTTTTTTTTTTAATTTTGTCATAATTTTACGTCCCACTTATAGGCCTATGACACAGAAAGATGAACGAAAAATCCTCTAATATTCTTTGGTATTCCCACCAATGGACCTAAATGGGCAGGGAATTTATTTTGATTGTACGCTCGGCCACAGGATTCGATAAGAGACATTTTATTATGATTCAGAATAGTACAGTGGAGACGATGATTGATAATCGAAACAAACAAGAATACAGAAGAAATGTACAGACAACGTTGAGGAACAGGGCATGTAAGCTTACAGGTTATAGCGCCTGAATTTCTGCGTCTTCGCTACCCGTATTTTCTTTGGCGAACGTCAGGGTTTCGATCTCTAAAAAAAAAACTAAAAACAAAGAAGCTGTCGATGTATCCATAGCAACGGAAGTCCTGGGCGGGGTTTTACTAGATCCGATCCAATCGTGCTGTATGTATAATGCAATGGTACAAAGGGTAATGTGTCTTAAGCCATGGCGTTTTGTCAGCCATTGTGGCATTGCTCACTGCTTTAAAGTAATTTCCGATAGCTCCCACCTCAGACACGACCACGCATAAACAAACTGGTTGAATTATGACTTTCGGTTGTTGAGAATAGTGTTCGTACTTACTTAGATGCAGACCCTGCTTAGGAGGACGTAATCTTTTGTCCGTTTGTGTCAGATGTTAGCCCCACTTAACGAATAACTTGAGAGATCGGAAGTGCTGTATTTTCAGGTATTTGGCATTTATTATATATATATATATATAGAGTATAGAGTGGAGGCAAGCACTGTTTGAATTTTATTATGCTCTTAATTTTTTCGTGAATCGTATTTTGATTTGTTTTGAATTTTGCCACGTTTTTGGCAAAGAATGTCCTAATACAGACGTAATCTATGTGATTGGCGTGAATTTGATCACACGCTATGAAGCTGGTTTAAAAGGCCGTTAACTATCGATTGTACTAATCATTTACGTGTTGGGAATGAGAGTGTAGGTTCAACCCCATCAACCTCCCCCTTTTCCAAAATTCTCTAAAAACTTGGCAGTGGTTTTTGTAATCTCGCATTTGTTAATCGGTTTTAAACCCGTTAGGATTTTAGGTTTTCACGGCGTTGAGTACGAAGATGGCTGTCGTCTGGCTTTCAGCGCCGTGTAGTTTTTTTTTTAAAGTTTACCAACGTTTCAGACGTCCTTGCTGCTACCATCATCAGGGCTATCACCTCTGAAACGTCTGTCAGTTTCTGCCTGACTACACGGCTCAGTATCCCAGAAGACAGCCATCTTCCAGTCCTTATCGATTTACATAATTCATAGTGTTATCTTAATCCGGTTGGCAATTGTGTGGCTGTTGATTGAACTTTGACAGGCGACTTAAGTCGTTGTTCCTGTTCTTGGTCGCCCCGCCCCCATGCTGATATAGCTACCAGGGGGTTGGGGTGCTGGGGGCTGTCGCCGGATCAGGTAACACATCCGGGCTCTCATCGGAGAACTGATGTCTTAGTGGACCAGTGGCTTATGTCTCAACAGCCGACTACCGGTCCACTTGTTTTACTGAATTACTGTTAATCCTTTAGCGGTAAAATTGTTGGGATTTTTGTTTCTCGTTTTTGGTTGTAGCCACTGCCTCGCTCCACAACAGATTGTGTGATTCTGTAAGCTGTGTCTTTGCCATTTTCGTTTCAGATACTATTCTGCGTTATGCTTTACAGTGCATAACATTTTAACGTGTTGAAATATTCTGGGAGGATGCATTAAGCGACGAGATGAGAGACAAATAACATTATGATTGAAACGTAGTTTGTGTAGAACTCGTAAGGCATGTGTTCCTTTCTTATTTCGTATTTTACAACAGTCATTCAGTAGCTAAGGCCGTATAGTGCCCGAAGGATAAAATGTCGAATTAGAAAAGGATGTGCAAGGGTGTTGCCGTGGTCGGATTTAATATA